TTTTAAGGGGCACATTATTTCCGTGATGGCCTTCCCAGTGATGCATACAATGATGACTTTACCGATGATTCTTGTTAGATTTGCTGACTTTGGCCTACGGGTAGATGTGCTCTCCAAGACCAAAGCTGGAGATCTGGTTTCCTTGTGTGACTTCCTCCCTTTCTCGCCATCCTTTTTAAAGCTGATACTGTAGTGCAGTCTTGCCAGCATGGTCTATATTTTTTGGTAATAAGTTACACTTAGATTTTTAACTTAAAAGTCTCTTTAGGAATTGTGAAGAGATTGTTTTGGGTGGTTTGTTTTTCTTTTGGAACTTTCTTGACATGCATGCTATTTTTCAGCTATTAATATTATTCTGTAATGCAAATATGCTATAATTAAAAAACAGTTCTCCTTAGCTAGATTTAAACCACGTGGGTTTGGTTTTATTGTTGGTTTTTTTGTTTGGGGTTTTTTTTTTTTTTCATAAACTGAGGGCGGGGGGGAAAAAACGCTCTTAATTTTTTAAGAATTCTTAACTGCCAATACAGTACCAGTTTTTGCTTGTCTTCCAGGAGAATAAGAAAAGTTGTTTTCTGCCCTTTCCTACTTGTTTGTTACTCTCCTTATAACATATTAAAAAAAAAAAACAAACCCTTAGTTTAGTTATGAGACTGTTTTCATTGAGGGCAGTCCCTTCTAGTGAGCACTAGATATTTCATACTTCTGAATTTGGTTTCTTTATTGCATTTACCGTCTTGCTTTCCTTCCCCAGAAAGTGAAATTTTCTTAAGCCTCAACAGTGTGGTTCAGAAGCAGATTTGATGCATAAACTTGGGGAACGCCCCACCTAGTGGATGATCATTTTCTCATTGCTCCAATTCAGATGGGAGACTTAAGGTTACGATGGAATACTTTACTTATTAACCACTTTTACTGCCAGCTCAGGAAATTCTTTTCCTGTTTTCTTGTGGGGGTGATGGTGGTGGTGTTTGGGGAGCTGGGAGAGGGGAAAAGTAAAAAGGGGACTTACATTAAAGAAAGTTTCAAGTTGGAAAAGATGCTGAAGTTTCCAATAGATGTTTTACCATAGAAATTAATTACAAGCTATGGTGATTGAAATGGCATCTTCAAAATTAGCTTTCTTGGATGTCAAAGGAAAGGAAGTATCTCAACAGAACAGCTTTCTGTGTGGGGAAGGAAAAATCTTTCTTTATTCAATATGAGGCTGGCCTTTCCCTTGTTCAGGAAAAGATGCAGTGAACTTCTTTAAAACAGGACAGCAAAATGGAGGGAGTGGAATCCTATCTGCCTGCATCTCAAAGACACTTGTGCTTTTAAAGGTAGACTAGGGCATATGAGTTATACCTCACTGTGAACAGAAATTATTAATTGGGTAAAGTGGAATGATGTAATATGTTGCACTGCCCTTCCTATTCCTTTGTCCAGTAATGCCCACATCTGTCATCACGTGGATGAAAAAATTTGGCAAAAGGCAAATTTTTTGTTCACTCAGAGTTAAGTTCCTCATCTTTTTGTCCTGCTTTTGGAGTTGGTATTTGTGTGTAATGAGATTAAATTCAAATATGCTTTCTTATTCTTCTGTATTATAAGAAATAGCTTATTTCTTATAAATTTCTTACTGAGAGAAGACTAGATAAACTCTTGTTTATTCTTATGCACTGTGTATTTGGAATAGACACTACATTCTGTAAATGAAATCAGATGCTGAGGAATCACACGCATCTTTTGGAGAGGCTTAAACATACAGGTAATGTCCAAATGATAAAAAAGCCTTGAAACTGATGCCTGTAGACACATGCAAAATACCGCTTTTGAATTAAACAAAAAAAGCAGAGACAGGAACAAGAATCTCTTCCATCTATTATTCTTGTTTGCTTGAATTTCCCACAAGTATTCTGTTTGCTAAAGGCCAAACAGGGAGAAAGAAATATGTCTAGTAAGTTGACAATTTGACATAAAGTGTTTTAAATTCTTACATTATGGCTACAGCCTGTCCCTTGATGTGGGTCGTTAAGGACATGCAAAGTGTTACATTATCTGTTTCTGGAGTCTGAGTGTTAGTTGCTTTTTCTCTCAAGACTGAATAAGTGGAATTTTTTTTTTCTGCTGCTGCTTTTGTTAACCTTAGCATTTCTATAAATAGAACACTATACTGAATAAATAGAAGTGCAAGATTTGTTGATAGAGTACAAATGTAATGTGTTGCTTACTTTTGCCACATGATGTAAGAGCACATAAGCAATATATTACCTTTGAAGTATCATCAGTGAAGCTTGGTGTCAGTCTTATAGTGGATGTTAGAGCCTAAAAGTAAATTTTCCTAATAAAGTAATTCTTCTACCCGTTCCTGATGTTAGGAGTGATATAGGGAGGCTGAAATTGGTTATTCTGTTCACAAGTACATTCTGAATTCAAAGGTGTCACCACAGTATACGACATTATTTCATCTGGTATTCTGACATTGCTTAGTCTGTGTAGTGTACATCCATAGCTTGTACATCATGACTTTTCCTCCAGTTCTTAGAGAAGTGATTAATTTCTTTATTAAAGTCAATTTGTGGAACAGAGGTTATGTCATTTGTTGCAGATCATATGAAATACATGGAATAACCTACTGATACCAAGTATGTTAAACTACCACAATCCCATGTTAGATGTATTAAAGTTCTTTAAATGGAGATGTATTATATTTTTAAGAGTTTGTATTTTTCTATGTTCTTTTTTAACTTTATGTTGAGTTTTCTGTTATGCTGTCCATTGAGAAATGCAAAATGACATAGCTCACTGAAACAGAGTATTTAATAACAAAGTAAAGGAATAATTTCTACATGCTATACTTCCCCTTCACTGTTCAAAAGCTTATAAAACAGTCTGTGGGGGGGAAAAAAAAACCTTAAAACCATCTTCATAAATTCTTGGATACTGGGGGAGGAGTATCTGTTAAATTTCTTCCACAGAATGGAAATACTAAAGTATAAATCTAGATTCCTCCCCCCCCGCCCCCAGGGAATTACTGGCCTTCAGTCTTGGGCAGGCTTAGAAAGGTACTAACTTATATCTATTTAGTTTTATAGCAAGTTAACTTCTGCACACTGTAAGACCATCATCCTCTGAACACTTATTAATAGGAGTTGTACTTCCTTTGTGAATAGCTGTATTAGTCCAGGGTGGAGTTCATTTTCTGCAGCTGAAATAAGTATGGGTGAAGGTGGTAGTAACTTCAGGAAGTATGAAGAAATAAACATCTTCTCATCACCTTGACTTGTTCAGTTGGTTATTTGCTCAGGCTTCATAGTCTTATATCCTTTTGCTGGTATGGTCTGGTTTATCTTACAGAAAAAAAAAAAAGGCAAATCTGTGAGCAGTGTAGTTCAGTAGGACTACTGCCACTAAGTGGGTTATAGTAGCTAAATGGGGAGGGTGGAGAAGTAACCCTTACTCTTGGATTAGATGAACAGCATTCATTCTTCTGCCAAATTGAAATAAAAACTGTAACAATTCCGGTCTGAGTTCCTCTGAGATTCTCGAAAGAAAAACACATGTCTTCTGCTTAATGGTGAAGATGTGTAATAGTGAAGAACTTGACACTGAAATTACTGCTTTGCAAAAAAATTTTTTTCTTTTCTTTTTAGATCAGATGACTTACAGCTTGTTTTTCTGACCTTTGTCCTAATGTTGCTGTGTCCCAAGTGTAAATCAAGACTTTAGGTCCAGCAGTTAGCACTAGTTTATGCTTTCTTGGTTTGGGGGAGGCATGGAGGAGGGAGAAGTGGGACTGTCCAAGCTACCTGCTCACACAGTTTCCTAATGAGGTGGTGTTGCATTCCCCTTCATGGATGTGCACTGCCTCGCTAGAAATTAAATATATGCATACCTCTGGAACAAGTCACTTCTCCTTCATACAACTTGGAGACAATAATACACCTTAATGGGAAAATGGGGGAGGCAGAGGGGAGAAATTACTTTTGACTATAGACTCAATCTTCTTTCTAGGGTGAAAAATAGTAAAGCATATAGCAAATGCAGTAGTATAACCAGATTTAATGTACAAATCTGGTAATTCTTTTATTTATGTATATATTTGTAAACCTGTGAGGGTGGAGTTCAGTGCACTTGAATTCCTGGCTGTACTGCATCGTCATTAAAATGTTTACACAAATTTGCACTTACAATCTTGGTGATAAATTTTACTGAATTATGTTTTCCGAATGGAACATAAAAATAAAATACAAGCCATCATGGATAAATTGCCATTACTACTAAAGCAGAACTGAAAAGGCATTTGGTTTTTTAGAAGCAGACGACTTGTAAAATTTAGAGGTAGCTGTGTTGTATGGCAAATCTAGTGCACTAGCACTAGATTTAAGAAAGTTGTTAGCTCGCCCCCATTTTTATTAGAGCTCATCACAAGGTTGTGGACTTTAAAAGAAGCAAAGGTGGCACACATGGAGTATTAAAATTCTTTCATAAGGGTCTTCAGATACAAGTGATATGCTGTATTGTTTCTGCTCACTTTTTTTATGCTTGATAGCACTTATAAAATACTGCTGTATATGAAGTTTTTTGTTAAATTATTTTTTTCCCTGCTAAGAGGAATGCCACTTCAATCTTCCAGTGTGCTTCTAATTTAAATATTACTTGCATACACACAAGGGGCTGAGTTTTATATCGAACCGTAGCTGATGAACAATTGTAATACTGATTACTGGTGAGGAACTAAAAAGGCTGTATCTGGACCCCACAGGGGTGGTTTGGGGTTTTTTTGATTGTTTGTTTTGTTTTGGCAGCAAGCATATCCCCCCCAAAGCAGGAGTAAAGCCTGTTTTGTTCCTCCTGTTCTGTTTAAATTACACCACCTTTCCAGTATGCTGTTACCTTGTAAGTTAAAAATGAAAACAATGTAAGCTGTATCCCTTGTGATCTTAGAGCTTTTTTTGGTGATAGAGAGAGAGAACTGGTAGCATATTTAATGCCTTTTTTTTTTTAACTTCATACAGGCACACATCTATTCTTTGGGTGCAACACTGAAAGCAGCAATAGAATATATATTAGAACCTGAGACAGAATCAGAATTTGGGCAAGATCTGCATACTCTACTGGAACAAATGCAAGAAGAGAATCCTGAAAATAGGCCAGATATTGAGGTAAAAGTGCAATACATAATTTTCTGTTTTAAAAAAGTAACAAAAATATTTGTGCATGTGCACTAATTGAGAGACAATCTTTGTGTAATATGCTCAGATTTTGCAAGAAAGCTGAGGTTTTCCCAGACTCAGCAGAAACTTCTTTTTTTTCTTCCTACTCTAATGGAGATACAACCTGAAAAGCAGATGTAAATGTTTTATGGTGATTTGATTTTTTTTCAGAAGGTTGGGGGTGAATATACCTGTGGATCTAAACTTTATCATTAACTGCTGCGTCTGATTTAGGATTTAGTTTACAGAGACAGACTGAGAGAATCACTAGAAGTAAGAGCATGGGCATTATGCTCTGAAACTTGTGTGGTGGCTCAGATGAAGTTTGGATTGCATTTAAGGAGGTGGAGGGAGCTGTGCTCCAGGAAACCTCTGTTCCTTGGCATGTAAAAAGCAGTGTTGTTCAAAGCATTGCTACTAACTAGTTTTCTGTAAATATGTAAATGTTTAGTAGTATTTGATTAGATAGATATCTTAATTACTTTTGCATTTTATTCTATTTAGACTTTTATTTTACCTTTATTTTTTAGAAAACATTTAAAAGTATATAGGATTTTTCAATGTTATGTTTTCAAAGAATTTACATTCTAACTGTAGATTACCTAATACAGTGTTACTTGACATTGGTGTGTGAAAGTTTAGCTTTACTGTATTGTTTTTGCAGACTCTCTGTTATTCAGAGAATAACAGTTGTCCAAATGTGACATTCTTGGATTCAGTTCTTCTACATTAGAATAGTGCCTATCTACTTTTCTGGGTGTGGGTTTTTTGCTTTTTTGGTGTGGGGTTCCCCCCCCCCCCCCCCCAGCTGATAGCTTATATTCTAAATTGTGTAGCAACTATAATAAATACTTAGCAGAAAGAGTGCTTCAACAGAAGAATGATTCATATTTATAAAGCAAATAATATTGGCTCCCTGGTTGAGGACTGCCCAGGCAGGAGACCATTCCTGACACAGAGCCTGCCTGATCAACTCCTGTATTTCCATTCATTTACTTTTGAGCATAGTCAGTAAATGGGTTGTACAGCACTCATCATCTCCAGTTGGTCTGTAGTCCCTCAAAGCTATTGCTGACTACTTAGATCAGCCCAAAAATAGAGCAGGTCAAGGCTGGTCTAGCGTAGTGTATGAAGGTTGCTTTGTGACTATCTGTTCTCTTTTTCCATTCCTTTTCCACTGGGCCCTTTCTTGGGTGGAAAGGAGTGGGGGTGCTATATGGAGAGAAGACTGATAGACTTGTCTAGCCATTTCACTAGACTCCAGCACAGCTGGATCCCTGTCTCATTTTCTCCTGTCCGTCCTCAGACTGATATGTGAGCCAACAGAGCCATTTTCCTCCTTCCATTCACAACAGAAGAGCAGTTGAGCAGGTTAATGGCGAAGTAAGAGCAGCTCCTCCAGAGCTCTATGAGGTTTCATCAGTGTTTACCTAGGAGCAGTTACTGAGGAAACAGTGGGATGCATTTGGAGAGGCAGCTCTCTTCTACTTCCTGCCCATGGTGACAGGTTTTTAAAGGTGTGAATGTCTGTACTTGTGTGTGAGACCAGTGCTAATGCCATCAACTGATGCTCATGCTACAGAGCAGACATATGTAATACTGTTTCTTCTTGTGATGTGATAATGATTGCTTTTTCTAATTGGGAACACTACTTTCTAGATATTTGTATTTTGCAGTTTTTAAAAGATTCAGGATTTAATTTTAATGTAATTTTGGTAATAAAAACATTCATCATCCTGCCTATGTCACTCAATTCAAGTGAATCGCTGGGTGTTTAAAAAATAATCTACACTCCAGCTTTTTATGTTTTCAGTATGTTATTCATAAAGGATAACATTTAAGATTAGTAATTTTTATCAGTTGTTCTTGGTGTTCTAACTGTAGTCTAGAACTATAGTAAATAATTTCATGGTAGCCAATGGTACAAATGTGAAATTAATTCAAGCACATAATAGAAACACAGTATAATGAACAGTGCAAGAAAGACCTCCAATGTATCATCGTATAAATTCAGGTGTGCTGCATCTGAATGTTAACATGATTCACTTTAATAAAATTCACAAAACTATCCATTATTAAATAAGTATTTAACACTAACTTTCTCTAGAGCATTTTGTCATTATGTGAAGAAAAACTGAAGATTGCTTCATCAAGTAATATTTGTCGAAGCCTGTCTGCTGTTGGAAGAAGGGTTCTTTCAATTGAATCATTTGGTGCTTCTCAAGGTAACCTTAAAATGTATTTGGTCTAGAACTTTAGATTGCCCGACATATCTAATGATTTTAAAAATACCATGTTTGTGTCCTTTCCTTTTATAGGTTCCTTTCTAGATATCAAAAATTCAATATTAAATATTTGTGGATTGGGGTGGGGAGCAGGGGATATACAACTCTTAATGAACATATTAATATATTAAGAGTGTCCTTTATGATTAAAAGTGACTTGTTCAGAAATGATTAATTTGTGTAACGTACTGAAGATACGTAACAGCAGTGTCAGAAAAAGCAATATAAAGATTTACTAGGAAAAATTGAAAGGTTTAAATACACGTTTAATATAAGCATCTGTTTTTGCATCTAGATGTCTGTGATAACATGTGGAAGGGAAGAATGTGTCAGAGAAGTTTGGGATCTAAATTATATTCAAATGAGAAAAACAACATAGCAGGTGATTCGACTGCAGTGGAAGATGTGACAGCTACCTGTCATAAGGACTTTTCTGTAGTTACTATGGTGACTGGCAGAGAATATGGTTTAAAGGAAATGCAAATTGATCTGGATAATGAGAAAACTCAACATTCTCAACTTGCAACTCAAGCTAAAAAGAGCAAAGAAGAGGACAAACATGCAGTGTATACTGACAGTTTTGCTAGTGTTGCTTTGGATATAAGATCATGTGTTACTGACCTGGAGAGAGATGGCATTTTTAAGAAAGGTTCTTTGAGAAAAATTAAAACCTTTCCAAAGCTACCGCTTGAACCTGCAGATACAAGTAACTTTTTTACTTCTGTAACTGACAGTGGACCACTAGCTAGGAAAAATCACTATCTAACAAAAGAGTCACCACCTCTAGACAATAATAATGAGGTTGCTTTTTCAAAGGGAAATCTTAATTCATATGCTATTAGTAGTCCACCAAAAATAGAACCAAAGAATTGCCAGGTTAATGATCTTCATTTAGAAGCTCCATGTGTATGCACACAGGTGTCTGGCATGAATCTAGAAGAGCATATGTCACTTATTAATGGTAAAAAGATAGGTTTTGCTTCATCTGATCACAAAGAAGACTGTTCTGATGCTACCTCTGAAATGGCAAATACAGCTGGTATGCTAAAAGGCCCAAATAAATCGATTGCTGGAGCAGAAATGCTAGACAATTACATGGCGTTGGAAGACTCTTCTGAAACTTTTCAAGGGTCAAATGAAAATTCGTTACCACATTTTAACAAGACGACTTCAGTGTTAACGGCAAAACCCAGTGGGAACAGATATGGATCAAACCTAATTAGGTCTCCAGAATTAAGCAACGGTGCTATGAGCGCAAACAATAATGAAGATAATCTTTGTGGAGGCAGAGGGTCAGAAATCAAAAGTAATGAGCAGGTAGTAAAAATAAAGTCTTCATTATATAGTTGCTGTAGTCACTTATGTGGAGATGAAATGACTTAAATACTGTGTGATTGCTTCCCTGCTTGCGCCCTTTAACATCCTGGAAAATCCAATTTTGCTAGTCTGCACACTCTAAGAGTTAGTATTGGAAACTTGGTGATCCTTTTTTCCTCTTTAAAATGCTACAGTGAAACTTCCGCAATTGCAAAATCAACTTTAATTTTAATGTTTTTACAAATGGAGTATACTTGCTAGTGAGTTAGAGCAGCATACTTAATAGTTGATTACATTTCCAAGAGAACATTACCAAAGCATATGTAGATTTTTAACTCTTTATGTTACTGTCAATGCATAAAGTTTACTACCTTGCAGTGAGCCTCCCAGGTGCTTATGAAAATTGCAGAGTTCCTGACTGTAAACCTGACCTCATTGAAATCAATGGCAATATCCTGTCTGCTTTGGGAGGTGAAGAAACTCCACATTTTTTTTTTTAATCTACATGTGCATTTAAGTTTTTGAAAATTGTATATATGCTGTATCTCTTCTGTGTTCTTAAATTACTGCCTCTGTTATGTATATTTCATGGTAGAATTCAAATATGTGCACAATATGATGGATATGTTGTCTCAAGCATTTCATCTTTATAAATAGCCAAATAAGAAGAGAGAGAGATGGTATTAGTCTAGTAGAATTTGTTGATAGTGTAGTATGGTGTCTTTTCTGCTCAAATTACGTATTTTCAGGGTGGACAAGTTTGGTCTCTGACTAGATGGTTTTCTCTTGTGCCACACTCAAAGCGATGTAAACAATCCATGTGATAGGAGAGCTGCTGGCTAAAAATGCAGGATGGTTGATGCTTCTCCAGCCTTGCTGTGACTTGATAAAAATGAGCAGCATAGATTTCACACATTTCATTTCCAGAAATCATGCTTAGGTGAAAATGTTGGGGATTTTCCTTACTTGTATACTGACAACTCAGCCTTTTTCTCCTTGCCTAATACCCAGTCTTCCAGCCATTCCATGCAGTGGTATCTAGGGTTATTTTCGGTCTGCTTCCATCCCTCTTTTCACCTTGCCCAAACACCTGCACTAGAGTAGTAACGTAGGACTGTCAAGTGTGTAAAGATCCTTTGGTTTATCATAGCTAAAAAAACTAATGCAGCATTGAAGATGCTGTTCCAATAGGTTTTTTTCTTTCCTGTGTCTTCTCAATAACATGTGCACTTATTAAATTCATAGTGCAGGAGGATAGTAAACAAGGATAAGTACCACATGGCATGGTTTTGCTCTCCGAGGGAGTTACTCATTGTATGCATACTGAGTCCTTTATGTAGGTTTTAAATCCTGCAGGTTCATTCTTCAGTCTCTGGGAAGAGATCCATTTATTGTAGATACATCCCTCCCTTTTTTTTTCATTCCTCTCTGGACTATGCAACCTTATGTATTCAGAAGAGCACAAAATAGTAATCAGATTTATAATTATTCCAAAGTCTTCTGCTTTTGCGATGTCATTTGCTACTCTGGATTTACATGAACCTGTTTCATTTGCTACATGTGATTGCATTTCTAACAAGGATCATAGCAATTTCAGTCACTGACTTCTTGTGAGAAAGCTTGTTAGTATACTGAAATCTAGATATGTCTTAGTAGTTAAGCAACAGAAACAATTTTCATCTTATGTGCAAATCTTTTCTTCTGCATGGAGTTTTTATTTTAAGCTAAACTGTTTAAACCTAGGAATTAATTTGCATGTTATTTGTCATGGAGAGGATGGTTGAGATAGGCCATCAGACCACTATAAAGCCACTGCAGCTGGTTTGTTGGGTTTTTTTGTTTTGGCTTTTTTTTTTTTGGTTTGTTGATTTTTTTCGTTCCAAGAAATAAAGGTACCACACTTAAGTCACTTCCCTAGAGGTGGAATTGGGCTTACTTAAGCCAACATGTTAACTAGAAAACATAAATTGAGTGTATTGATAGGGGTTCTTCTTTAAGGAGGAGGAAAAGTCTGTTGAAATAAGACCTATATTCTGGCGTTACTGGATTATCAGGACAACACTTTAAGTCTGAATACATGAAGACACTTTCAAGAAAATAATCTTCCTCAGAATTATAGTTTCCCAAGATTCTTGCACAATTTAAAAGCTGTAACAAGTGTCCTTTTTGCTTTTCCTGCAGCACTTGAAATTGGCACACAGAAAAGTAAACCAAAATATGTTTTCAGGTAATTCTGCCATTATTCTGAAATATTCTTTTTCTTCAAATATTTCATCCTCAATGCAATTAAAGTGTTCTTTCAGCCTGAACAGAATTCCATTCTCCCAAATAAATAGGCTCTTAGTAGAAGTGAGGTTAACCTGCTCCCACAGAATTCACAGGACAATCACAGTGAATTAGAAAAAGTAACTATAATTCCAGTTCCCCTTATAAGCACTGTCGTAATACATACGATCTTAAATAAAGACAGGAGGGTGGTGGTTGTCTATGAAACCAGAGTTTCATAGTGCTGTGCTTTCAGCAGAAGAAAGGTTTGATAGGCTCATGCTCTATATTTTTTAATAATCAATTCCAGCAAATGTTCAGGTTCTGCCATATGAAAATATTATGCTCTTCACAGCTTGTTAAAATCCTAAATTGGCCTTAAAAAAACCACAAACCAAAAAACCTCTTTGATTATTTAACTTCTGTAATGAGAGAAAAAAGCATTTAAATATATCAACATCTGTGACCAACACCTAGGTTTCTGAAATGGCTGTCTGTGCCCTGAAATGCTGAGCTTCTAGTCTGCTAATCTTCGTTTTCTGAAGGAAGTCATTGAACTGTATGGCAGACTGTATTATAAGTTTTCTTAGAGAAGGAGTTGGGTTGTTGTTTTGTTTTCTGCTTCTTTTTCCTCTTCTAGAAAACATTTTATTCCTCGGGCTTCTAAAACATAGCAGTTTCTGCCTCTGTCTTACCTCCTGACAACTGCAAAAATAAAGCCATACTGTGCTATCCCTTATGTGGAAAAAGTTACAGCTGATGTCTCTGTACGCTTTCAAGTTCCCTTTCATTTCCCTGTGCCAGAATTTTACCAAATACATTAAAATGTTTGACCTTTTTTTTTTTTTTAAGAAGATAAAACTTGAGCCTGAGAGTGTGTTCATTTGCTGCAAAGGCACAAAAAGTGTGAAGCCCTAATGAATGTGATTTCTATCTTCTGGGCTAAATGGAAAACACCTCAGAAGATTTACAGTGCTGCTCTTTCACTAGTTTTCTGTAACAGATAAGCATGATTGCAGCAACTGGAGCTTTTTAGAATAGTATCTCTAGCATCTCTTTAAATATTTCTTGTTCTTTAGAGAAAGTGCAATACCAATCCCATCAGGTTGAAGATCAACCTTGTCTACTCTGGAGAACAGACAGTTTTTCTTACCTGTCAATACTTCTCCGGTGGACAATATTTTTCTAATACCCCAACACTGCTTATTAATGTTGTGTGCTTTACTGCTAGTGAGCATTACTAAAAATACTTGCTTGCTTTTGTCTGGCTACTGCAATGTATCTTGTGAGGGTTTTCCTAGTAATTTTTATAGTTTTGCATGCCATAAATAAATATTTTTCACTTCAAGTTTGAGTGGGGATCTTTTATTTCTCTAACCAATTTCATTCCAATCAGGTGTGTCTCATCTCTAATGCTTTTAAATGTTTCTCTGTGATTCAAATGCTATGGCCTTTACATGGGAAGGGTTAATGGGAATCTGACATATACACACTTGTTTTCTGTTGGTCATTCATACCCAGTCAAGCATGAGAGAAGTGAAAAGCCATGTGGCTAGAGAATGATACTTGAACACTGGGGAAATAATGCTTGAAGGAAAGAAAAGTTGTCTATTCCCAGAATAGTACTTATGAAGAAAAGAATAATTAAAATCTTGCTTGCTTTGGCTGTTTAAAATATGCCAGAGTTAAGTTCATAATCATACATTAGCATAGTCTGAATGCTTTGAAAAGTTTGTTTTTACAATTCTTGTACCAACAATTAAGTAAAAGATCTGTTAAATGATCTTTGCAGCATTGAAGAAAAACCATTACTTTTTCAGCAAGCGGAGTTTAAAATGCAATCTTTTTGGCATAAGACAAAATGTCACCAGTATATAGCTATAGGCAGTAATCAGTCATGTGGCTTTTTCACATTTTCTGTCAATTTCTGTGCTGTGAAAAACATTTTCTTATTTTATAAAACTGGGTTATCTAATTTCTGTCATGAAAAGGTATGTTTCTGACCATGAAGAAAAAATTTCAGGAAGAGGCACTGGATTATAATTTTGTTTGCTCTTTGGAATTTCACTGTTGATAGTCTATTAATAAATGTTTTCTATCAGTATTAAAATAATGTTAATGCTTTAAATGAAATGGACCTGAGGCCTTATGGATGCTGAACAGTTATCTTGAGCTTGCCTTGCTAAAACATCTAAGATATAGATGTTTCTATACTGTTTCTATATTGTTTCTTAGATAGCTAAGAAACAATGCATGCTACAGGCAGTTTGACTAAAAATTTTAGTCATATGCTTTCCAGCACTTGAGCTTGTCTTGCTAAAACATCTAAATAGATAGCTAAGAAACAATGCATGCTACAGGCAGTTTGACTAAAAATTGACTAAAAATGCTTTCCAGCACTTCAGATTTATATTTTTTTCTTGGTGGTTGAGTGGGGTTTTTTGAAGTTGTAGGAAATAGTAATAGCCATGAATCAGAGACTTGCATGTTAAAAAACAAAACAACAAAACCTGAAGCAGGGCTACAGGCAGTTTGACTAAAAATTTTAGTCATATGCTTTCCAGCACTTCAGATTTATATTTTTTTCTTGGTGGTTGAGTGGGGTTTTTTGAAGTTGTAGGAAATAGTAATAGCCATGAATCAGAGACTTGCATGTTAAAAAACAAAACAACAAAACCTGAAGCAGGCAAGGGAGTTTTACACTTAAATGTTTACCGCAACATAAACAGTTTCAGTGGAATTCGAATATGCATTTTGTTAAATACCTGCTTAGAGGCTTAAATAAAAATTGCCTCCTAACCTTAGGTTGAGAAGTATATTGTTTTTCATTTGGAAACTCTTTTAACCAGACTGCATGTGTTTCTCATCACAGATGTAAATGTGTGATGAAACACGTCTTATGTATCTTGACTATGTTGAATAACTTCTGCAAGATGTTAGAAGGACAAGTCCCCAACAGGTCTGAACCCTCAGTCTTCAGATGAAGTTTTCCAGAATTCTCTCTGTCTGGTATAGGAAGGTGACCATTTGGAATACTTAGGACACTAGAAGAATGACCTTCTCAAGTATTTTTTTTCAGGAACAAAAATAATATTTTTATATGGTCAAGGTGGGGAGAGACTTGAATTATAGTAAGAGACAGTAGCAATACAGGCAGTTATTAGTGTCACAGGAGAACAACTAGCATATGAATATTAGTTAGCAATATTAATATTTGAACTTTAATCTTTCTTTAGGATGCTTGCTAGAGAGAAACAATGAGAGTATACATTTAAATAAAGTTCACCAATCTGTAACCTAATCACATCCTTTTTTTTTTTTTCCTGACTCAGATTAACTTGGCCATCCTGTGGATGGTAGTGGTTCTCACTTCTGCCAAGATTTGCTTTTCCTACATCCTTTTTTCTTCTGAAACAGAATTTCAGTTTCTGGTGCCTTTTCATCCTCTATTTTGTTATCCATCATTGACACTTTCTTCTTTCTTATCATAAACTTTTGCCGCTGCTCTTAGGGCTTATTCCTACTTTCCTGCTGTGCTTAAATCTTTCTGTCCTTTCTTCCTCTAGAGAGCTTGGATATTCCAGAAGTGATGAGAAATACCTTTCAGCTTTCTGCTGTACAGCTAACTTCAGTCTCCAGTTTAGTGAGAGATTCTTCTTCCCCTTGCTAGCCATTCATCACCCTCTCCTGAAGTAAGAGGTGATTTGTATATGCGATAGATGAAGTCCATCTTTCTCCGCGGCAAGCTTTTAGAGCCTCTAGGGACATAAACTTCAAGAGGAGGAAATCTCTTACAGAGAAACATGTGGCAGTGGTGTGTAGTTATTACAAAAATATTCCCAAATCCCAAAACCTTCTTAATGTTCTAGTCAGCCTGTGGAAATTTCCGTTTTGATTACTCTCCACTCGTGTCAGCTGTGCAGGGTGAGTTTGAAGATTTGGCTGCTTCTTTCATTGTGAAATGTCTGTGAGCAAAGACATTTGAGGCATATGAGAACCAGGGTTCTGTGGAGGGGGAATGCAGCACTGATCAAGGGTAGTAGTCAATCAACAGTATGAAGCTCTATCTTGAATGTTCTGTAGACTAATTCATTCATTTGGCCTCTTCCTTCCTGCTATGTAATTTATGTGTTCTTATCAGATAGTTCAAAAGCTTACTTTTCTATATATAACAGAGGAACACATTGGTGAAGGAATTTTGCACCAGGATGCTGGTGATTGATAGCAAAATCTGAGAATGAAGGCTAACCTTATTGCCTGGCTTCAAATATATCCATGCTGAAGTTACTAATTTTTGCGATGTGCCACAAGGAAAGATAGGAGAATAAAAGCACCAAATTAATTTTCATGTCTGTTGGAGGTAGGCAGGAAATAAAATATTTAAAGTAAATCAAAAGGTGTGTTTGATGGTACATATTGTTAAAAATTAATAGCTTATCTGGTTCACCTTCAAAGAATATTTAAATAGTATGAGCACAAAGTATTACCTTCCTTGAGAAGGTCTTCTGGTAAAAATTAAGTTATCAACAAAGTTTCAGCTACAGATATTAATATGGTTCTTTTTCTCCTCCCCATAGATCTCAGCGAAGCTATTTCTGTTCGTTGGTCTTGATGAAAACTAATGCAGTAGCCTGTTCATTACGTATTTTATGATAAAATCCAAATGGTGCCTCACTGAAGGGTGTTTCATAGCCAGGATCATGAAAAATTGAGTGCAGTAAATGACAGTGCAGAGACTGATTTATGATGTACTACCATTGTGTGTGAGAGAGACCCTTGGTCTATTTAGATTTTGCAAACATTGATTGGGATATAAAGGTGTCTGTAAAAACAACCCAACAGTTCAGAGGTTTTGTTTCCAGCTCTTGTGATCCAGTTTTGTTTTGTATTTTTTTCCAGAGTTAATCCAGAATTGCTTCTGGTAGCTCTTCTCCCCAACATGGCTTAAAGTTGACATTTAGAAATAGTTTACTGTCTTAGGACTGCGTATGCAATAGAAAACGTGTTGTGTTGGTTTTTTTAAATAGTTGGATGGGTGTGGTCTAACCAAGAGATTTCTGCCTACAGTGAATTTTTTACTGTTCCTTTGGTAGATGAATGGAGATCGTAAAATCCATCTGATGTCAAGAGGCACTAGTATCTCTTTTATTAGCACAGCTTGATTGGAAAGGTGTCTATGTCGTACTATCCATGTCAAGTTCTTATATTCACATTCCCCCCCACCTCCCAAAATCGCAAAATGTAAGATATGGATTCTCTGAAGAACACTAAGTTTCCATGGAGCAGTATCTTTGTCACATTAAGATATTATTCCAGGTATCAAAAGCTAAATTGGTAGCCAGAAAAATAAATGCTGTTACTACAATTTGAGCAGCCAGTGATTAAAAACAGAACAACATGCCTGGACTTCAAATAAACATGTCATTAATTCTGTCAATATTGTTAACGTCTTTCACAGAAGAACAAGAAATGTTGATGAAATCTTTAAGGTAAGACTTGTAATGCAACTGTCAGGGTACGTCAGGATTTGAATGTGGGATTTTTTTTTGTTGGTGGTGATCATTTGGATTTTTAAGTCTAGGTGGTCTCCCTATAATTATTTGTCATCTCTGACATTCTAAAAGAGTCTTTCCTTAGTATGGAAAGAAAGAGCTTCCAAATGGCTCTACTTTTCCTGAAACGCTTCTATTCTTGCTGAAGTCTCATTTGAGTTACACTTTTGTTATTCAATTAACAAAATATGTTCATCTGTACAGCTAACTGTGCAATGCTCTTTCAAGAAAAACTGTTATTAGTTCATTACTGGCAAGTGCAATAAATACCTTAATGCTTTTTAGATGAGTGCGTTGTATATTTGGATTTACTTTTTCATTGCATCAGTAAACAGTCTTGGTTTGTGATAAATGTTACTAACTTTCTGCATTCTCACTCTTTTTTTTCAGTGGCGCTCTCTAAAACTCCTCTTGTCGTGGTATGGTAAACCTCTGAAAGACTATGAACTCTGGGCATTATGTCACGAGTGTTTAAGTACTTTGCAGACTTGCATAGATTATCCAGGTATAGTGTTAATTATCTTAAAATATTTGCTTAGTTATTTATGTTCACTGTATTAATGTTTTCTTTATTCTGTTGATGCAAAAATCTCAATTTGCATTTTGTGTACAGAAAAAATGATAGACAATATTTCTAACTTCATTCTTTTAAATTGTGACTTAGAATTTTTACTCAATTTGGAGTTTCATTCCATATATAAAAGAATGTCGTCTTTTCTCTCTATTGAGTTTTCATGGCCTTTGTGGGGGCAACAAATCTTTATGACTTCAAGCAGTGAAACAAATTTTGTGTTTAGACATTTTGGGGATGGAGAAACTGTACTGTGACTTTTAAGAAAAGCACTTGGGACTTGTATCTTGAAAACGGGAAGAAATAAGTTTTTCATATATATATGTGTGTGTAAACATAAAATTTCCTCTCTTGCCTGAATTCCTTAATGACAAATGATTCCTGACATATTTGTGACAATACAAGGCTTTGTCTGTTTAAAGTCATGACATGACTCCTTCCACATTCCCTATGCTTCAGTTTATAGAAGAATTATCAGAAGTCAGCTTCTGAGAGAGGAACTGTCCCTTGACAGAATTGGAATATGTTGTATGTGACATGGGAGAAGACCATCCTAAATTTCCATATGCATTTTGAATGTTGGTTTAGCTTATACTAATACTAAATCTGTAGCAGTTTTGATAAACAGAACAGAGGTTCCCACCACCCCCCACCACCCCTTTGCTTTTCCTTGATTTAAAAAGCCTGCTTTGTGGGTTTGGACAGGGATGGGTTTCAAGTCTGTAACTGAATATAAACAATTGGATAGTAAGCTACAGAAAACTTACTGCATGTCTTCAATTTCAGCTTCAGCTATTTTATCTTTTATGATATAAAAATGTTAAAAAGGAAATTGGCCATAAATGGAGATTTCTGAGCACTTTAAGCAATGTTACCCTTAAAAAAACCTAAGTATTTGATGTACCTCGCAACAGAAGGATTGTTTCAGCCTCATAGCATGTTCCTAATGTTTGTGAAGGTTTCAAATAACTGCACATAATAGCTCAGATTCTATGCCTGGCCTGGCTCTTTTACTGTAGTTGCATGCACCCAGAATGTATAAGTCTTCAAAATACTAAAGACTGAGTTGTGATCTGAACCTTACGTAGTCTGTAAAAGTGAATATAATGACACAAACCACTAAATGGAAGGTACCTTGCCTAAAATTCCCTATGTGACAAATGAAGCTACTTTGAAGTTGAATGTTGTTTTCAGTTTTAGATTATTTCTGCCAGAGGATTCTCTTCCTGTTCTGAGAGTAATTGTGCATTGTGGAATGACTTAAAGTGCTGTTACTACTTCAGTGCCCACACACACGTAAAGCTCTCTCAATATTCCTTTTGAATAATATTAACTTATTGAAGGTGAAGCTGGTATCATATAAAGTGTTTGTTAAAATATCCTCTGTCTTGACACTGGTAGAGTAAGATTGATAGCTGATGAGTCAAAGATGTGAAATATGGAACAAGCTGGATTATTTATTATTTATTCACTTAGCCTTTTCTTCCAAATCCTTCCTTGATTACACTTTTTCATTCTGGGTAAGAAAACGCACCCCAAAGGTAGCCTCTTCATGTATTTTTTAATTCAATCCTGCTGCAAAAGTTGGTTACTTATTTCCTCTCCTCTTATGAGAGGGTGTTGCTTACATGTTGTTCGTGGGTGCTTTAGAGAACCCAGGTGAGGATTCTCATGTTGTACTGAACTCGTTGAGATCTGTTTTGCATGGATTGTGTTGCAGCTTCAGGGCCAGAAGCATTAGCTCTTGAGAAGCAAAGATAGTGAGCATGAAGAGATCTCAGGGGAGCTGCCACTGCAGAAATAACTAGCAGAGGTTCCTGTTTGGGAAAATTTTGCTTTTCAAGACAGATAATTCAGGTCCAGCTTAAATATTATTGAAGGTATTAGGCAAGCCTTTATTTACATTAAGCATAATGAACAATTTAATGGCTTTAAATGTGTTTTGTACAGGTAAGTAAAAAAGCAAAAGGATTATTTCCTTTTTGTCTTTATTTTTTCTTTCTTAGACCTCTTCAATTTATTATTTAATAATAAATCAATATTTATTTTACTCTTAGAACTCTTTAATATTTTATTTGATAATTAATATATTTAATGTTTTAACTTCTTATTTAATGTAAGAATCTATTCTCCAAGTACTTTGTTTTTTTATAAGAGAACAGAATATTTGATAGTAGTCTACAAAGGCGGGACTACATTGCTAGGCAGTTGGCTTATTATATTGAAACATGTTAAATTACAGTGCGCTTTGAAGATACCAAACCGATAGACACAGTCTTACCACAAGTTTTTCATCATTGAATTTATATAACATGATCACATGACCTTAATGTTACATTCCAGAAGACCTCAGATCATTTAAAATAGTTTTAGAAGTCAGTTACTTCTTTCCTAACTATGGAGAATTCCAGGGCCTTGCAAATACCAATTCTTCAGTGGGAGTGTGTGTGTTACTATAACTGTGCAAAACAGGACTCCGTATCCTATGCCACCTAAAGGAGTTCTGGATCTGGCCACATATATCTCAGCTGTCTCCAGATAATGACCCTATATTTTGGTGGGGTTGGAGGAAGAGAGGAGAGATTAAATGCTTAAGATAAATTGAATATCTTTTATTGGTACCTTGTGAGAAGACTAGAGTACATCTAGCTGTCGAATTTCTTTTTTTCTTTTGTTCCTTTCTTGGTCTTCCTTTTCAATGCTGGAATAAAGACAATAAACTTCCTGTATTCTAAGCCCTTTGATTTATTGTGATCCCATTTTGTTTTATTTTCTTGTCTTTGTTCTGCAGGAATTGCTCTGGGTGATTACGCATCTACTGCCTCTTTATTGGGTGGTGTCTGTTTTAGCATTAGTGTTATTTAACGCATCATTTATCGTAGGGTAAATGCTGACATTGCAAATTATTTTTTTAAATTATTTAATATATTAGTGTCAAATAGATACACAAATAGATATTTATTATGCATGCCTTTTGGTGTCTTGTTTTGCAGTGGTCTTATGTTTGGACTCCGTGCTGATTGACTGCCATGGAAGTATCCTCTTTGCTGCTTCAAAAGCTGAAGGTAAACTAATACGTTGCATGCTCTGCTTTTATTTCTTTTGCAGGGGAGTGGAGAAGAAAGCAAATATCTTACCTTTTGTCTCTGGTTTCTTTTCTCATTTAGAATCTTGTGATACATTTTATTTAGCTCCTGAAATTCACGAAGAGGATGTGGATACTGAGAAGGTAACGTTGTAGGTTGCTACACATTTTATCAAAGGACAGTTGTATTCCTCTGCTGCTTGAAGAAGAAAGCTAAACTCTTATAAGATTTTGATAATATTTTCCATTGCTCCCAATTCCTTGCTTATATCTGTGCTTTTTATATATTGATCTCCCATAAAATTAGATCCTTCTAAAAATAATTTTGCCTTCCAAACTTGGAGTAACTGCCAAAAATCTGTTCTTCAGTAGTTTTCCATAAGGCTTAATTAATTTCAGTTTGTTAGCAGTAAGACAGACTTTGAAGTCATGTTTTCACATTCTGGAGGTCACACTAAGATGAGTATTTTAGACTGTCTAGGCTAAAGCCCAAATATTAATCTGATTTGGAAGATTGGATAAAAATCTCACTATCAGCAAATTTTTACTATGGGAATGCTATGAATTATGTCTTTTACCAATACAGTTTTCCCAGAGCTTTTTGCTATAGGTATAAGCCATTAGGAGCTCTCAGACCAAAGATGATAAAAATGTTGGTAAATAGCAGGTGAGTATTTGTCCCCACTGCAACTGCAATGAATTGCAAACTGTACCACAGTAATCTTAGAGTCGGAAAAACAGAATTTATGGCACCTTTCTTTTACGTAACAAGAAAAGAGGTTAGTTAATATGTACCTTGTGCCCCGCGAGTCCTTTAAAATTAGACATAATAGTCACAAGTCAGAAAAAAAAACCTCCATTAAAAATCTACTAAAGACAGAGTTTGACTTTCTGTAAAATTATCTGTAACCAGAAAATGTTTCTACATCTTCTGCTTTGAAGTTTTTCTTTCTTCTTAAACTGCTTTGATCCAACATGCAGGTTTTTCAAAGGCTTCGGAAGCTTAAACTAACCCTGAAATCTAATACAGCAGTTCCACCATATAGTAGAAGTTAATAATCCTGAAGTATTTATGCTTTATTCTTTTTCTTTAGAAAATCTGAAGTAATCTTTTTTTCCTTGTTTTTCTACAACATTATATATTGAATAAGCTGAACTCTTTTTTGGTTTTTTTCTGATATTTGTATAACTTTCTTGTTGTTATGAACATTTAGTTAGAATTATGGTATGGGAGTCAGGATTGTGTAGCGCCAGTCACGATAACTGTACTACCTCAATAAAAGAGACTTTTTTGAAGGATATGCTGGATGGGATAGCAAATTTTTCCTAAATAAATAAATTCAGGTTAAAATTGTGATCCCATTGACCTCTTGGAATTCTGAGACTAAGGGGAAGAAAGGTTTTTGGTTTTTTCTAGTGGAACTGCTTTCTCCTATTTCAAGTATTTTCATACCTATTAGTAGCTTTGGTTCAACAGTTCAAATGGTTCACAGGTTATTTTCTTTACAGTGAACTTCCTTGTTATGTTTTGTTCATTGCTGTTCACTTTGCTCAAAAGAGTGCGAGAAAACATTGTTTTATAGGACCACATTATTTAGTGCTGTGCTTACATTTCTGTCCCTTGAGCCTTTTTAATATCTTTCAGAGGCAATGTGAAGAAGCATGGTGCCTTAACTTTGTCAAAATTGTATTTGTAGTACATGCTAACATATGTAAACTAAGCATTAAGTAGACTAAATTGGCTCTGTCTGAAAATTGTGATTCTTCAAATAAAATAAGAAAGCTTGTGAAGATCAATTACTTTTCAAGGTCCCTCATCATGGCAACTTCAATTGGTCTAGCTGCAGGTAGCACAATAATTGCTAAAATAAGTATACAGCACCTCATTCTTCTGATAGGTGTAATCTTCTCTGTAAGATATGACTCGTACTGACTAGCTTGTAATTACTGTGTGCCGTTTACTTCATGAATTATCATGACCTTTTTTAAGTAAATTGCATCTGGCCTGGTTTTATGGTAGAACTCTAAAGCTTGCAGCAATTTAAGTTTTTACATGAGAAAGGAATTCTTCAAAATTATTCTAAAACCACTTTTTTTCCTGAATAAATTTCCTAGAAAAAGGATAAGACAAATTATGTCTGTTGCTCCAACAGTAGGAAATTAGCTACTATTATTGGCCCGGCATGCATAACAGATAGTCTTTTAAATGGGCTGGGATTTTCATCAACATCTTCAAAAGCCGAATGTGATCTGTACTTTGGAAGCTCTAGTTTTTTTTTTTTTGCTGGGAATGAGGGGTATTTGGATAATTTTCTGGAATTGGTTTTGAAGTGGAAGCTTGGTTTTGGTCTGTTTACATCTTTCCTGATTCTTACGTTATACCAACAGGTCTGCATTTATGGTGTTGCTGCGGTTCTGTGGATGGCTGCAAAATACAGTGTTCCACCGAGTCACAAACTAGCATTGCCAAGAAAATTAAAAAAACTTCTTCTGGATATGGCAAGAAAAAACCCTGAAGACAGACCTTCTCTAGCTGATGCAATTAAGGTTACTAGATTTAAGCAATTTTATGTGAAAATTAGTTGTATCTAAAGTCTCATTGTAGTGATTTGAATATCAAAATATTAATTTATTTTTTGTAATAGGCTGATATCTAATTAAGTGATAACCAATCACTTTGTGATTTGTTTTTAAAGTTACCTCCTTAGGGACACAGAGAGGTGTGTTTTTAATTTACATTAAAATTCCCAATAAGGTACTCAGAATAGGTTCATAGCACTTCCTAAACTTAGATTACTTCTGATTTCCTATCTTGACTTTGTCCTTGTCCAAGAATACCTCACTTGATTGAAAACTTACTTACTGAAAATTATGGTGGTTTTTTTTTTTTTTAGACATGCAATTGTTATTTACTTGAACAAGGTATAAACAGCAAAAATATTTTGGCATTGTTGAATAAATCTGTCTTTAAGGTAAGAGTGCCACTTTTTTTAACTCTTTATGGTTTTTCAATTAATTCTGTAAATTGTATTCCAGTAAGATTTTTGGCCCCTGCGAGTATAGTTAAATTTGTTTTCTCTCTTTTTTTCTTCTTTTTTTTTTTAATTTCAAGTAGTCTTGAAGTACTGCTTTTTTCTAGCTCTTGCTGTTGGAGTGGTCTCTCCCCAGATAATCCACAATCTTTATGGATGTGAGCTCAGAAATAACAACCACCATTGACTTAATTTCATAGAATCATACAATAGTTTGGCTTGGATGGGACCTTTAAAGGTCATCTACTCCAACCCCCCTGCAATCAGCAAGGTCATCTTCAACTAGATTAGGTTTCCCAGATCTCTTTTTTTCCGTCCAACCTGACCTTCAATGTTTCCAGGGACAGGGCATCTACCACCTCTCTGGGCAACCTGTGCCAGTGTTTCACCACCCTCATTGTGAAAAATTTCTTCCTTATACCGTGTCTAAATCTACCTTCTTTTAGACTAAAACCATTAGTCCTTGTCCTGTCACAATACTTTGTCCTCATTTTTCCCCATTTTGTCCCTCTGATCATTTTTGTGGCCCTCCTCTGGACCCACTCCAAAAGGTCCATGTCTTCCCTGTGCTGAGGGCTCCAGAGCTGGACACAGGACTCCAGGTGGGATCTCACCAGAGCAGAGTAGAGGGGAAGAATCACCTCCCTCAACCTGCTGCACACGCTTCGTTAGATGAGACCCAGATGCAGTTGGCTTTCTGGGCTGCAAGTGCTTATTGCCCACTCATGTCCAGCTTTTCATCCACCAGTACCCCCAAGTCCTTCTCAGCAGGGCTGCTCTTGATCCTCTCATCCCCCAGCCTGTACTGACACCAGGGGTTGCCCTGACCCAGGTGCAGGACCCTGCCCTTGGCCTTGTTGAACCTCACAAGGTTCACACGGGCCCATTCCTTGAGCTTGTCCAGGTCCCTCCCCATCCCTCAGGTGTGTCAACCGCAGCACTCGGCTTGGTGTCGTCTGCAAACTTGCTGAGGGTGCACCCAATCCCACTGTCTATGTCATTGGTGAAGATATTAGAGTACTGGTCCCAATACGAACCCCTGAAGGACACCACTTGTCACCGATCTCCATGTGGACATTGAGCCATTGACTGCTACCCTCTGGGTGAGACCATCCAACCAATTCCTCATCCACTGAACAGGCCACCCATCAAATCCATATCTCTCCAATTTCGAGAGAAGAATGTTGTGGGTGACTGTGTCAAAGGGCTTACAGAAGTCCAGATAGACAGCATCGGTAGCTCTTCCCTTGTCCACTGATGTAGTCACTCCATCACAGAAAGCCACTAGGTTGGTCAGGCAGGACTTGCCATGAAGAAGCATGGTGAAGCCATGCTGGCTGTCTCGAATCACCTCCCTACCCTCCATGTGCCTTAGCATAGCTTCTAGGAGGATCTGTTTCATGATCTTCCCAGGCACAGAGGTGATCCTGACAGGTCAGTAGTTCCCAGGGTCCTCCTTTTGACCGTTTTTAAAAAATGGGTGCAATGTTTCCCTTTTTTCAGTCACCAGGGACTTCACCTGACTCTCAAATACGGAGAGTGGCTTGACAACTACATCAGCCAATTCCCTCAGGATTCTGAGCTGCATCTCATCAGGTCCCATAGACTTATGTATGTTCAGGTTCCTCAGGTGGTCTCAAACCTGATCTTCTCTTACAGTGGGAGGGACTTTGCTCCTCCAGTCCCTATCTGGAGGACTTCATAATCTCTCCTTCATTTACCACCCCTCTTATCAGAACAGAAGACATTAATATATAATTGATGCAGCATTCAGTCAATCCATGGAACTGACTGTTCAAAACTTTGATTACCTAAAAGTTCTGATTTGAAACAGAGGGTTATCAAGATTTCCAAACAGTTCTGCTGGTCTTTAGAGTTTTGTGTGTCATTTGTTTTAATTCTCCACCTGACTAGGCTGCTGCTTTGCAGAGTACAGAAATTGAAAATCCTAAAACTCTACATTTATATGGGGTTGGTTTTGTGAGTTGTTTTTTTGTTCAGGGTTTTTTTTTTTAAGTAATGTGCTGAGCAGAATTTAAAAAAAAAAACTAATAAATTCAGTTTGGACTTCAACTTTTAGGCTGTTGAGGAAGAAGTAATTTCTTCTCAAGATCATGTTGCTTTTGAATTTAAAAATGAAAGCCATGAAATGGACCCTTCAGAGTCAAGTCTAGGTAAGCAGCTTTGTTTTAATATTCTCTAGATCAGTCCTCCACGTAAGATTTTCCCGGTCAGGTACACAATTATTTTTTTCTATCTAAGTTGATTGTTATTTACTTTGCATTTGTATTTTACATATTGTTCATCCTTCTAACTGTGTTTTTGTTTTTAGGATTTGTGCCTATTACCAGTGAAGGTAAACTTGTAGCAGTTAAAGGACCAGTACCATGCCAGATTTCTCTAAATCGTGAGAAGGCTACATTACCTGTTGCATTCACCTCTCCCGCAACTCACTTTAAGCCTATTATTCTGCAACAAAATGCAAATATAACAAAGTTAGTATATCCTAAAACAGAATAAGTTAAATGTAAGACTTCATTGTTAAATCTACTGGAAATTGTCCTCAAAAAAATTATTTGTCCTTTTCAGAGAGGTTCACACATCAGTTTCTGAGCAATTCAAGAAAGAAACAAGAAAAGAAAAACGTATTAACCACAAAAACTCAGAATATATAGAAGACTCTAAAAGCTATGGTACTGAGGACACAGATGTTGTTGAAACTGTGCCTGAAATACTTGAGTGTGATTTACAAGTTCCAGGCCACTCATCCCAGATATCTTCAGAAGAGCAAAAGTCAAGCAATACGTTTACTTCTATAGTTACATTACCATCACCTTCTGATTCCTCATATATTCTACAGGAAAAGAGCATTTTGTCTGAAGTTCCTTCAAACTCCTTTGCTTGCCCTACATCTCCTAATTTTCTTCATATAAATAACATCATTCTCAAACAGGACTCAGAGAAAAGAGTTTTGACGTTTGTGCCAGTACATTTAGCTGTATCAGAGCAAATACCAAATAAGCCTCTTCGTTCAAGAATTGCTTATGACTGCTATCATAGTTTGCCGGTGCTACTTTCCAGTACTATTGCAAGTCAGAAAATGAGCACGCAAGCAGAAAATGATGTCTCCCTTTGCAAAGTGCAAAACTGTGAAACTACTAGTACACAGAACAAGTTTGATAAAAGTGACCCAGTTATTCAAACCAACTGCCAAGAAATTGAGTGTGCTACCAGAGTAGACAGTATTTCCACTGAACAAGAATACACACCGTGTACCTCGGTGAATCAAGACAATTCTCATCTCTCTGATGTTGAAGTCCTGCCCCAGCAGAACAGCAAAAGTGACACTTTACTACAGAAAGTGGTTCATCTTGTACAAGAGGAGTTTGCATTTGATGGCTATCTAGAGAATGGAGTTGAAGATTTTGATATGGGTATGTACATTTTCTTCTGCATATTATTATCATTGATGTGTGAGAATATTGCTAGTAATGTTTTTGTTTAATTTTTTTGTTTGATTTTTTTGTTTGGTTTTTTTGTTTTTTTTTTAAAAGGTAACTTCATTTTAAACTTAAAGCAAATTAAGTTTGGTATGTTTTCTCATACAATTCGTGAGAAGTTTTGTGACCTCTACTGGGATGAAAAATTACTGGAAAAACTTTATCAGGTAGTAAATGAAGAAAGACCTTCACATTTGTGGTAGGTATTTTTGAACTTTTTACTTCTTACGGTTTAATTTAATGCTTTTCTCCCTACTCCCTAGAAGCAGGAAAGGATATGCTGCATCTCTTCAGGTATCGTTACTTGTTTTCTGCCAACTGTTAATTTCCCAGTCTATTAGATACTTCATGGACTTTCCCATAGCAAATAGTGCTTAATGGCTTAGCAGAAGTTATTTTCGATTAAGCTTGTCTGTAACTCATCTTAGGACAGCTGAATAATGGAGGCCTAGTTCTGATCAATATTGTTTTCAACCACTGATGGAGAGCTTCATAGTCTTGTTAGAAAGAGGCAGTTCAATCAGAAGTGAAATACATTGTTCTTACTGTTCAGTTTGCTTATTCTGTTTGAGTTTAGTTCTTTATACATCCTTTGGTTCTATTCACACCTAAGAACAAGGAAGTTAATTTAGCTTTGCCAGAAATGTTTTACCTAACTGATTTAGTTGGATTCAATGTTCCTCCTGGCAATCTTTTGTAAGTAGCCTGTTAAGTGAGAAAACACCAGCTTAATTTCTCATTTTTACTATTTCATCACCGATTACATATTTACCTGAAAAATAAGAAAACTGTTTTTGTTTTATTGCAGCTTCCAAATGCAGCATACTTATAAAAACTTCTTACTGAAGGCTGTTGTAAACAGTAATCAACTTCTATGTGGAAGTTATGTGTGTTTTCTTTGTCATGGTCTGGAACTACAAATTGGAAGTTTTCACAAAGAAGCTTGATAGATATGGTTTAGAAAAACTTCAGTGTTAAAAGATGTATTCTCCCTACAGCAAGTTTCAGAGAGAATAGACTACAGCCTCTAGATATCAGACCCTGACATGCTGGCCTGTTTCCCATTTGGGCTGGGATTTTTGAGGAGCCATTGAAAACTGCTTAGAGGTTAGGCTCTTGATTCCTCAGAGTTGAATGTTATGGTAGGAGAAACTTGAGCTGTTACAGATGAATTACTGAGATATATGAAGAGGTTGTCCTTTATATGAACTTTTGTTTTGAAAGCAGGAGTGAAAAGAAAATCATCATTTATTATCCAGTAAAAAAATACACGTCTAACTTTTAGATAACATGCAAGAACTGCCTCAGAATATCTCTGAGATACTGCTTACTTAACATTCTTTAGAAAAAGAGTATAGCAGTTTTTAATTGTTACCTCTTTTGACATAAGATTATGATTATTCTTATTAGGGATGACTTAGAGTCAGACTGTTATCCAGAGGTTGAATCCTGAGTGAAAAACCCATTACAGTAATTTGCAGTCTAAGTTACGCCTGGAGTTATGTCTTCTGTTTGTATGTGTTCTGATAATTCTGTTGGAATTTTGCCAAATGCTGTAAAGGAAAATCTTTGGGGTTCATTCAGTGTGCTTTAATGTCCATTTGAACATTTTTTCTTGTAAAATAACAACTGAAGCTGAACACGCAAACTTCAGGAGGTAGATAAATGCTGTGAAACTCTTCACATACATGTAGAGTCATTTGTAAGATCTCATTTTACTGTTGTAAATATAAAAGTATATGTAACATTAATTTTCCCTAATCATCTTGCATTTTCAGCATAACTGAGGCAGATGATTCAAAGTGTGGCACAGTATTTCAAGATCTGAAGAAATCTGATAGCTTTTTGGCAAGCAGTGATCAGACAGAGGGTGAGTAGGGACTTTATGTTTCTGGATCTTTGTGTGTGCTAGGAATCTATCAATGACACAAGTTTTGAGAGATTAGCACTTTGAGTGTGTCTTCAGGAAAACACTCACCTTAGCACTTACGAACATTATCAGTGAATCTGGACATTATCGATACCTTGGGGACCCGTTGTCTTTTACATGAAGCTTACATATGACAAAATGTCATTGAGTGCAATGCCTGTTTCATTTACTTTTACTTACTTTTAATTTACTTTACTTACTTTTATTTATGCAGATGTGTCTCCCAAAGCCTGAACTCCTACATGTGGTTTCCTTGTGTTCATCCAGTAGATGTTCTAGTGGCATGCTTACAAAGTAGGGAAAGGGAAGAGGGACAATCATACTGAGTCAGCTCCATGCAACATAGCAAGTTTAGTTAGGCGGAGAGGAGAGCTTTTAAAAATGCTTGAGACTCATTAGGTGTTACTGAAGAAGTTGAGAATTGATTGAAGGATGACTGTGCAACAGATCTGGTCCTTCTTTGTTCGCTTATCAGAATTAAAACAAAACTGGGCAGTAAAATAAATAAAATATATTAAAATAAAAATGGTATTGTCAATAAAATTATTTACAAATTCTGGGGAAGGGAATTGTACAGAAATCTAGAAACTGAATTGCTTTTGGATTTAAATGGGCATTTTTAACTATTCATTAAAGGAGTTTTCACAAACAGGTAAAAAAGAATAGCCTTTATCTCTTTCCTATGAATTCTTCCACTTCTCTATTCTAGCCACTGAAGTGCCTGTTTAAAAATAGATAGCAAAATGAACAGTGGGTCAAATGATTTGACCAAGATAGTTTTGTCTTTTGATCACAAACTTTGTTACAAGACACAATTTCAGGGCAGTCATTGAGGTTATATTAGTGGATTGTATATTTGTAATTCTTCAGTGTGGGTTTTGCACTCTTCCTAGCATACTTTGCAACTGAAGGTTTACAAAATATTCCATCTTTCAGGAACTGAACTCAAAACTGAGCTGGGACTCATAAATCCCATTGTTATAACAAAACCATTACTCTTTCTAGACTTGATGTATTCATGGACGGGTTTTATTTGGTTGCTGTTAGTATATACTGACAGTATTTCACTTTTTTCCAAGATATTTCAGACACTTTTCAACATTTAAACTCTTATTACCTCTCTGTTTTGAGCAAAGTTAAACTGTGTGTTCTTTACATAATGGCTTAACCCCTACATTGTTAACTTTTACGGTAAAATATAAATTTGTAAGTTTGCAGTTGACTGCTGTCTTTCTATGTTACAATTTTCCATTTTGGCTCAGAATGATTACAAATGTAGAGCCAGATTTCCCATGGGGTGTGTGATTTCTTTGCACCAGTAATTTAGGGCCATTTTACTCCAGTGTGGCATATCTAAGCCCTGGAAGGTTGCTCAAGTGAAAAGGGAGATTTCTGGCAGGCATAAAAGCTCCTGTCAACATCATACCAACCTTTGACCATCTCCTCAGTCCCTCCAGGCTGGTAGTAGCTGTTACAATTGCAAAGAAGTGCCATCATAGCTCAAGGGAGTGAGTCCTGTAGGAGTAGAAAGTTTAACATCCGTGCCCCCTTTCACTGTATCAAGTATTCTTGCCCTCTATGTATGGAATAAAAGCTTCAAGACTTAAAGATGGAAAAAACCTCAAGAGTTAAGCTTTTTACTAATGCATCCACAGGTCTGACATATTTAACTTCTGTTTTAAAGCTTCTGAACTCTGTTCAAATGCCTTTGTATATAAACAGAACATATTCTGTCATTTTCAGGAATGTATTGACCAAAGCTTAATAGTTCTGAAATGCCTTTAACCTTTATCATTTTACAATGTGTTGTTGAGAAAAAGAAATCACAGAGCCAAAATAAGCAACTAACACTGCTGTTAGAGGGCGTAAGTAGTCTCATAACTGTATTTTGTATGCGTAGTGTTTAAGTTCAACAAAGCATGCATCACAGCACATGACCATTATTTCTTTCCCTTCCCCCCATCCCCTGCCCCATACACCCTTTTTAGGAGAAGGGGAAACAACCTTTGATGTGAAGGCTGAGCCTATGATAAATACATCATTAGCTGAAATGGATTTTGATGAGTCACCTTCGGATAATTTCAAAAAAGAATTGAGGCTGCAGAATATTATCCCTGTAGAAAAAAAGGGGCAATGTTTACAAAGCAACGGCTGTTGTATTGGTCCAGGCTTTACAGAAGAAAATATAGAGCCAGAGGAAGAGACCATAATAAAGATAGCTGGAAACAGCTACCTTGTGTCTCCAAATCTACCTGACTTTCATAGCTGTAGTCCTGGTTGGAGCAGTGCATTTTATGGAGCTGAATGTTTTGATTCAGAAGTTCATAGTTACATGAAAAACCTTGGAAAGCAGAAATCAAGTGAGTCACAAAATATAGATGCTAAAAAAGTGGTGAGTACATTGATTTAAAGTCATTAAGATACCTCTTTACTTGCTCGTTAAAAGTATGATAATATTTCTTGTGTTACGGTCAGTTGAAACCCCCTTTATTCTTTTAAATACTGACTCTTAAGTGTTTTAAAATCCTCAGAATTTGTGATGTCTTATCAATCAAACAGTGTAAGGATAGTGCTCCAAAATAAAGAGCACTGACATGGAACTGATAATCACTGACCTACAACCCATCTTCTCTTCCTGAAGTTGACCGGAAAAGTACCATCTGCCATATGCACCAACCCCATGCTGGTAGTAACATAGAAAAGAACTGAAAATGGCTATGACTGGTGCATATCACAAGCTCTCAAGAAGTCCTTCATGTCATGTGCTCTGAGCCCTTTTCCTTGGTCATGGTGAATTCCCTGGCAGCTTCTCACTGTTTGCCAGGAGAATGGCAGTTATTTGTTCACATCTTCTCTTGGAGATGGCTAATCATCATGATGAATGCAGACTTGTGCCTTTTAAGCAGCTTGGGGAGCATGGACAGCAGGGTGGGTTGTTTTAGGTTAGCTAGGTCTTCCATTTCCTTAAAGATCATATTGATCACGTTTACTTAATTTTTACATTTGTGCACCTAACTATAACAAGCTTCAGTTTGTAAATACTTTTGTGAATATTTCAAGTCCAAAGTGACAAAGTAAGGATAATATATGAAACTGTAGAAATTGATATAGTTGGAGCTGGTTCATGGAAAGAAAAAGAAAAAAATTAAATAAATGAGTTATTAATACTGGAAGACCTATTAATATAGGGACACCTGGAACCTTTTTGTGTCCCTGAGAATAGTTAGTTGTCTAGTTTGTTTTTCCTTATTAGTTTCTGCTAGACACATGTTTAGTAAGGATGAAACAGGAGTTACACTGCTCTTGTGGATTTCCTTACTACAAGCAGTGTTAAATTTGTTGCTTAATTTTTTAAGTGAGCTTCACAAAGTAGAACTAAACAGCTGAGAACATGATCTAGACTTCTTTGTTTCCACATAGTCAGTTTAAATCACAATTTATCTATGTACATTCATTTTCTTTGAAGTACTTCAGTTTTCAGTAAAAAACTATAACTATTTTCTGTTATTAGGCAAGTTAAAGCCTGAATCACTGAGGATGTTCTACTTTTTTTTGCTCCTTGCTATGTTCAGATGTAAGTCTATAGGAGAAAATAGCATGAGAAACTTGAAAAAAACAAACCAAAAAAACGCCCACGTTTTCAGGATTGTCACCCTCAAGAATAAAATTTCCATCTACTCAAAAATTCATATTTCTAATCTTATAGGGCTGTTTAATCCTGTGTAAGCATGCCAGCTAGAGAAAAATGAACTTTCATAATCTCCCTTACTTGAAGGACTAATTCTTAACTGAAGAACAGATTTTCATGAGTTTCCATAAGCATCTAAATAGATTTTTCTGTTTCAACAGGCAGTCGTCTTTACTTTGAGATTTTACAGACTACTCAGCAATTTGGTTTGATTCAAAAGGATGAATTATCTTCTAAGTTCTTGGCAATTGTTGTCCCTATTTAGCAGGCGTACAACAAAAATGAAGCAAGATTTATGGTGCTTACAGTCGGCTTAGGAATTTGCTTATGAAATTAACGCATAATATTATACATTGCTGCTCTCTGTATTAATGCGTAAGAACTTGGCTAACCCAACAATCATGTAGGAGGCTGGGGGGAAAAAAGTCATGAAGTGTCTCTCCAGAAAATTTTATTGTGTTCGTGCCCAGTACGTTCTGCTGGAGGAAGCTTACTATTGATACAAAATGCAATTTGTTCAGTTTAGCAATTAGTAAACAATTCATTCAGAGAGCAGAACGCGCATTCCGATAGCTGAAAAAGATGCATACTACTCTGAGGATAAGTGAACGAATTTTCCTTGTGTTATTTAAAATGTGTGGAATCTTACTAGCTGGACAAAATAGACTCTACTCTGTCTCAGTAAGGCAGAAATCATGTATGTGATCTGGACTGCATATGAGGCCAGGTGGACAAACAAGAATAAAATAATTTGCAGACAATAGAAGCTTGGTATCTTATATAGTCTTCCTAATTTGTGAGATCCCTTTGTGTCCAAGTTACAAGGAATACAATTATAAACTGTCATCTTCAATTATGAAGTCTAATTCAGTTTATATTCCACCATTTTCCTCAAAAAAGAAGGTTAATGAAAAGTTAAGTACTCTTGTACAGCGTAGAAGTGTTTTGAATGCATTGAAAAACAAAACTTAATTTTCACAAAAAGCATGTATGTGCACATACATATATTCTCTGTTGTATTGTTTGTATGAAGAAGTCTTGGGATACTAGAATATTCAGGTATGTAATCTTGAAAATATTTTTAATAATATAGTATTAAATGTTCTTTCCTTTTTTTATTAAAAATGCTTTTAAGGTGTCTTGCTACTACAAATTCAACAGAGGATAGTTTAATATATCAGTTAATTTTTGGTCTCGTTACTATTTTGATTTATTTCACTACCATAGCACCAACAACTTTGATCTTTCTGCTGGCATTACTACAAGACTGACTTTCTGTGAAACCCAGCTTCTTCCAAATGTGTTTTAAATACGGAATCATAATGCTCCAATTGCAGCAATCTTGAACATTTAACCTGAACAAAGAAAACCTTCCTAAAATCCTGCTGTCTCTCCAAACCATCAGTCATGCCAGTGTTTATACAGTCCTGGGGGTTACTTCACATTTATGCCCAAAGTCTAGCCAGAGTATTTCTAAACTTAGAGAGACCTGTCTCATTTCTGATGCTGCTTTCATTCCCGACCCACAAAGAACTTGTAACAATTCATCTCGTTTCAACAAAGGACATGATTATATGACTAATATTAAACAACTAATGTCATCTACTTTTCTCTTCCCTCCGTGTGCATTTTACAGGCTACATGGGTTTTAACTAAGTACTTATACATTAACCAAATTACACATAGGTGATAAGCAGCTCTACCCAGCTTCTTTCTGCTGTCTCTGGTGCCAATTCATCAAACCAATCACTACAAATCAACTGTGAAAATGTATAGCATGATTTTAATCTCCATACCAGCAGCTGACAAAGACCAGTTCGTATCTCATTTTGAACAGTATGGTTAGGGGTAGGATTTAACATTTGTAAGTCCTTGTGTGGTGTTGTACTTGGATGTAGCTGACAGGTGTATTTGTACATCAAAGTGTTTTCATCTAGTTTTATTTGATAATATGAACATTTATACGTGTTATACTTGGAGTACATGTTATTTAGAGAATAAATGTGGTCATTAATCACTGACATTTATGAAGCATTAACACTGTTAATGTGTAACGAATGAATAAGAGCTGTGCAAATTTCAAGGGAATGATGCACTGTCTGAACCACAATACCAAGAGAATAAAAGGTGAAAATTAACTTGAGCTTTCTGCCAAAGTGGAGCTCAAAAAAGGTTAATTATTCTAGTTGCCAACTCCTCACTGTAAAATCTAGTGGAGAAAACGGGTGTCCCATATCCAGTCCAGGAGGACTACAAAGTCCAAAGGAAGGCTTGTAAGTGGCTGTTTTGAGCAGGAAGGTGGTTTGAGTTGCTGGAGGAAAGTTCTGCCTCTCTTGCAAGGTAGAGCTGTTTGGCTCCACCCTATCCTTCCTTGTTTAAATCATCTGCTAACCAGTTTTATTTCAGAAACCAGTTCCTTGATTAGCTATAGTCTAGTTTTCATTGTCTGGCAAGGATTATATCAACCTACTTTTTGCCCCTTGTCTCTGACAGATTTTTAAAAAGTCAGCAATAAAGCTGAGCTGATTCTACAGCTTTGTGGTAAAGTGTGCTAAAGCAGTGTTTAGGAGTTGCTATTTCAAGGAGTGAATGTTTAAAGATAGCTAGACATTTGAGCTTGACTACATTTGTCCTGACTTAGTGGCACTACCGTTTCATAGGGATAGGTCTGCTTGTTCAGTTCAGGTCTAGTCTGCAACTGGAACCGAGTACTGAATGAGAGTCTAACCACAAAACAAATTACAGTTTTGGAGACATATACATCTCAATACACTTATCTCTCCAATTAAAATATTCATCTGATTCAAATGTTTCTTTATTCACTTTCTAAAACTAAATGCAATTAAATTTATTAAGTTTTTTAAATTTTGTATATCTGCAAGTAGGTTTGAGAACATGCAGGTTCTGAGAAACTGACAGAACATGTGATTATATTTATGACAGAATTAAATATTCTGCTATAAAAATAATTACCTTTTATATTTTTCTACTGGAACCTGTTGGATATTGTCTGCAACTTGGATAGGTTGTGATTTAATAAGATGCAAGAAGTAAAACATTTGTTATATGATGAACAATATTAACAATACACTTAAGCTATTATGATTTTTTAAAATGTAATATGTACTCTTATGTTTGGAAGGAATGCAAAATAGCTAGCAAAATAAAGTATTTATGGATCAAGGTGACACTTTCAAATGTCATAAAAATAATGAATGCTTTACAGTGTAGGTGCTTAGCAGATAGTTCATTGCGGTTCTCAAGATCAGCAAAGGTTGATCTACATTTAGAAAAGTTAGTCCTTAGGCGAGCAAGTATATGTCCCCTGCCTCACATCACCTCTAGTTCAGGAGCTGCTGATTTTAGATCTTCATGCAGAGCTCATCCATGCAAATCAAACCAAGTCCTTGCAGCAAAGCAAGACAGGAAGGCAGCTACCAGGGCTGCCATTTCTCCAGGGCAATGTCCAAGTCTGTCCTCACAATGAGACGAGCTTTTTTTCTTCTAGTCTGATAAGCTGTCTTCAGTTCTCTTGCAGCCCCAAGCCTTCCCCCTTAGCTTTAGCCCTTTTTCCTCTTTGCTCTCAGTAGGTTTCAGTTATCCCCCAGATCGTATAACCTACTTGTAAGAGTCTCTACGAAACTTTGGTGCACTCAGGCTGTGCCTAGGAGGTTTCTAGTGCAAGTTTTGCATATCTGGTCACAGTTTTTTGCTTTCCCATTCCTTTTCTCTTTCCTTTTCCCTTCTGCCAATATTCTGCATCCTTTGGTGAAGCCACCTTTCAGCATGTAAAAAACCTTACGCTTCAAGGACAGATTGGAATTTGCAATTTTCCCAAGTAAACAGTCAGTCTGTCATTACTTTGTTCCCTAGACTAAGGGATGGTCTCTAGAAAAGTGTCCTGACAAATTAAATGTACTTTAGTGGGAGCAGAACAATTGAATGTATAGCTTTATCAAAAATGTTTATATTCTAGACCTACTAAAATGAAAGATGTTGTGGAATAGACTGGGAATTTGCTACTGACTTCATTGCTACTCACCTGAAGTTACTTAGGGGAGAAACCACTTCTGTCCATCCGATTCCGAATGTCAGAAAGTGGACACTCTCTGATTCCCTTTCTGAGTTCATAGTCTCTTAATCAACGTGGTTTCACTTTAATTGATGAAACAAAAACAAACCTTTAAGTGAAAACAAACAATTTCCAATTGAGAATCTGGATAATAACTTTTCTGTGCTTTCACTATTCTCTGTGTGATGCCTGTGTAGTGGTAACTCTTTTAAAAATCCATGGGGCTTTTGTGACTCTTGCTGCTAATGAACTATGTCATTAAACCTTTTGAGCTTTTCTGAAAAATAGTGACAGGCTTTTCTCACACTCAAATTAATTTCTAGTAACTCCATCCCATTAAAGCTAACCTATTTACCAATCTGTTGTTTGGTATGTTAGCTCTGAGCTATGTGTTTTCTGATCACTCTGCTTGTGGGAGTTCTGTCTGCTGCATTCAGTGAACTTACTCCATTTAAAATGCTGTTTCATGTAACTGGGTCACTGGTAGTTAGCTTAGGACCCAAGTGCAAAAGCCACCACTTTTATAAAGCACAACACACGTCATGTTTTTTTTTTCATAAGAAATCAGAAGCTGAACCCAAAGTGGGTGGTCCTTTTTCATTGGCTGGCAAATAGTGAAACCTTTGATATGCAAACAAATATAAATGTTTGTATTAAAGTTGATATTATTGCGAGAAGCCCAATATACTTTCATTTCTATCCATTGTTTAAGTTATATAATTCTATAGATATTTAGTTTATTTTTTCAATTATGTAAAATACATAAATATAAAACAGGTAAGCTGAACTTCAAAATTGATACGTCCTTTATTTTATAGAGCAGCCCTCCTGTCTGTTTTCTGACCTGGTTGTATAACGTAATGTAATTATACTTGTTTGGAAACCATTGCTTTCAGTCAAAAATTCAGTTCTTGCTGCAAATATAGGTCAGCTGCTTAACAGAGCATTTCTGGGGTCTGCACTCATTTCAGAACCCGTCACTTTTAATTCTGGATGACTTCCAAGTGTAGCTTTTAAAAATGCTCTTGAAAACAACCAGATAAGTTCAATTATAATTAAAGGCATATTTATATAATCAAACAAACGTCAATGTGGTCTCATCATACACAGACCAGCTCCAGTTCTTAAGTTGTAGAACGGTGGCATAACTAATGCTTTTCTGGGGACAGGTGATGCCTGCTGTAATTTCCCTGTAAGCACAGGCGTGAAAGGTAGTTTTTCCTAGTTGATATCATATTCTTGTCTGTTTGGATGTTCTTTTTTTAATACAAAAGAATTCTCTTCTAAAACTCGGTTTCCTACTAGAACCTTGCATTACCATTCTAATCAGAATCCTTTTTCCCTTTAAATAGGAACTAGAACAATTGCTAATGATGGAGACAAAAAATTACAGAAAGACCATAAACTTTTACCAGAAACTATTGCAGAAAGAAAGAAGAAACAAAGGTAAGATTACAGCAACTTGCCAGTAATGAAATGAGTGCGTAGTACTTGTAAGGATTTTTTTTTTCTGTAAATCAGAATCATTTACGTTCTTATGCTGTGTGTTTTAAATCTAAAGGTCCTGAAACTAAATCCATGTTGCTCAAATTGAGAGGACAGCTACAGGAGATGAAATCAAAAGTGCAGTTTCTTGAACTGGTGAAGAAATATGTGCAGGCAAGTCAGACTTTATTTTGCTTGTGTTTCATTTGTCATTTCATTACTGCATCAGTGTAGTTGGCTGCTCAAGTCAGTATACGAAATGTGAAGAGTTTGTGTCAAAGTGCCAAATTAAGTAGAATCTAAAAGAATTATTAAAATAAAGGTAATTGCTACTAGTATTGTTTAAAAAGGGGGAAAAAAAGCAATTGCATGAAATGTGATTTGGCTTTAGGTGGAGTTGACTGCATTTTGTGTGGATTTCCCTCGTTGCCTACTTTTTTTTTTTTCCATGGCTTTGCATCTTCGAGCAGATCATGTATGCAGAGCAGTGGGGTGTGGAATCCTGTGTGCTGCCGACAGTCCTCCACAACGGCAGAACTGACACTGTGGGAGTGGCACCTGCAGATGAGTCGTCATTACTTCTTTACTACAACACAGAGAAACACCAGTGTAATAATCAAAATGGAGTAAGAGTCCTGCAGGCTGGTACACCACTTGGTTTAATGGCTTATTTATATTCTAGGTATAGTATAATTTACACATCCTTAACTGGGAGTGGTTGAGGCATAGTTGCTAATTCAGGAAAAAATAGTCTCTGGGACAAAGCCTAGTTACTCAGCATTGCATAAATTCTTCTCTCTTGTATCAAGTTTGATGTTATTGCTATGAACGCCTATTTGCAGAAATGGGCATGGAAATGGCAAAAGACAATCTGATAAGAAATAAGCCAAACTACTAAATTTGGATTTGGTTAAAACTCAAAGCATTTGATAATAAATCAAAAACTAATAACTTTTTTTTTTAATCTTATTTGAGGTTTTGCTCCGATAGTTGCTGTGGAATCAAAGCTTTATGTTACTGCCAGCAGTATAACAATTCTTCAGAACATATGATTTGATAATTCTTATTAATAGGATCTGGATGTGAAAACATACAAGTTCTATTTTACAGATTATTACCGCAGTCTTTGGGACTGATCAAGATGCAGGCTTATCTCAGGACTTACATGGGACAAAGGTGTCCTTTAACTTTCAACTGGGTTGAGGGCAGAGGTTTTTTTTAAGGTACCTCAGCCATAATAGCATGAAGGATGGAAACCACTTGAAAGACTCCATCAGACTTCTGGCACTGTAGAGGGAGTAACTGCAACTTCCTCCCAGCTACGTCCTCCAGCTCCTCCTCTCTCTGAGACTCAGTTACTTATCCTGAGTGCTGCTTTTCCTGGTAGCTAATATTTTGCACAAAGTGAACAGATTTTTTTGGAATCAGAGCTTCCACATTCATCAAATCCAAACTTTCATGATTAGCTGTAAGCCATCAGGGAGACATGACAATTAACCTGTGTTAAAACTTTGAAAGTATGTGTGTGTATAGGTAAAAAAAAATAAAACACACTCATTTTTAGTATGTGTATAAGTATATTATGTTGTTAAAGCAACTACTGCTCTGATTAGAGCTACAGGAAGTATTTTCTTGCTTAAAGTATCTACTAGTTATGCTGCTGTTATAATAAAAATTTTTTAAAACAACATCAAGTGAGATGATAGAAAAAATAAAATTAAATATGTTCTTCCATACTATTTAGAATGTAACTTTTGATAATAGAAATGTCAAAGTGGTTCTTCACAAAATTGCAAGTAAAGAAACTTTAAAAAAAATTATGCTTTCAGTATTGACAATCACAATATTTGATGTGTAAAATAAAATAAAAATTAATCAAGGTTTTATGCAGACCTTGAGAATTTAAAATCCCTACTACTTTTTGATATTTTGAGGATTTTTTTTCTGTTGCTTTACTCTAAGGCAAGAAATTGTGTTCTTGCTTGTCTGAAGTTTTTCTTCTGTTTCACAGAAATGCATTTTTAGAAGGTTATGTACAGCAGTTTCTCTACACATTTCGCTATTTCTGCACACAAGAAGAATTTTTGCAGTTTATTCTTGAGAGAATCAGCAGCACTTTATCCAGGTACAGTAATTTCCTATGAAAATACTATCAAAGCACAACTGGCTTTCCCCCCCCTCAATGGCAAATAGCTGTTTCTGAAAAGAACTACTTAATTAAACTGAATTTTGATGTTTGTTTTTGTAAGACTTTCTTGACAAGTGAGAGTGAAACTAGAGCAAGTGCTATATTTGACAATGTGCTTACTTCTTTTTTCTTCTGAATTCCTAGTCTTACTTTTGCCAGTTGTTCAGTGATGGGTTGCAAGTACCACCACAGCTTTGTTTCCATAGAGCCATGGATTCTAGAGACATGAAACATAAGAATTTAAGATAGTACAGGCAATACCAAATAATACTTGTGGTTTTTTCAACACTTATTTTTAAGTTGGAATCGGATATCAATTTTGGTGATATAAGTGCCTTTTTCTCCTCACCAGTGCGAGCCTGGATCCTTCCACATCACTTACCAAAATATGTAACCGCAGTTTCTACATCCTGCAGGCTTGGATTGAAGACTGCTACAGTGTAGACTTTGCAACAAATACTGATCTTTTGTGTACCCTAAAAGAATTTATTTCTTCCAAGGTAAGTCAGAATTTCAGTAGAAGGTTTAAGAACAAAAAAAATCAATTGAAGTAAATTATGGTGTATGTAAGATTGTTATTACAAAAAGCTGTCCTGATTACAATTAAGGTAAAGTAAAAGGAAAATAATAATATCTTTGACAACTATGCTCAGTATCTCTGGTTTTGGACAGACACGAATCTTACAACTATATTGTGTCTTGCTTATAATTTATGGGAAATTGAGTTCAGTACTCTGCTAACCTGTTTTGCATTTACAGGTTGCTCCATTAAATGGCTATGGTGAGCGCTTGTTGTCATTACTTGAGGATGCTTCTGCCAGGAAAAGTGGCAGTGCACATCAGTGCTCCAGCATGGCTGAATGTGAAGAGGAGGGCGAGGAGGACAGAAAAACATTACGTTCTCTATGTAAAAAGCTCTCAGAAGATGTTTCCAGAAAGGCATGTCTTTTCTTCAGACTGCAGTATATGGAGCACATTTCCATATATTATTTTCTGGCAAAAACTAGAGTATCCAGCTTAGTGTCTAGACCTTGATTTAGTAAAATTCATGCACCTACATTTTAAATTTTCTTTTGAAAGTATCTAAGGCCTAAACAGTTCTATAACTGTGGAAGTCACCTTTAAGCCTTAATTGTACCCTGTCAGCTGTTTCAGTAATAATAGATCAGATAATCAAAATTTTGAGAGGAGTTGGACTCTTCATCCTTGATACTAGCATGTGATTCATAGTTACTAGGAAACCTTTCCCTCCTTGTCAAACATTAATATTTTTGAGGCATATATATTTGTAAGTCTATAAATGTAGGAAAACAGTGGGGGGTGAGGGGTTTCCTGTTAGAACTTCAAAGCTTGTAGCAAAAACTTATCTTGACTTTTGTCTGTATTTACTGGTTAATATAGCATGCTAATGAAAAGTAACCGCAGAAGCTGGAGCGTATGGTAGGCTTTTCCTGAAAAAAAATCACTCTACAGACTGACTAAAATGACATGTAGAAGTCAAATATGTTGATAATGTGCAAGTTGAACTTAGATTCAGTCTCTCGATAAAGGTACAGAATTCCATGGGGTATACTGGGCATTCAGCCAATAAGGGGCAAGCAGAATAGAGAAAACATGGAATTCTTTTACTGTCACTGCATCATAATGATACCGGAAGATAGAAGGGAAAAGAATGGAAAATGAAATATTTATTTGGAAAGAGGTGTTTGATTCTAAGCAAAAAGAGTACAAGCAATAGTAAGAGATGCTAAGAAGTAAAATATAAAATACCGAACTTCAGAATATAAACCATTTCGTGGCAGCAAGCTTGAATACACAGAAGTTTATTTTAAATACCAATTGTTGATTGAGATCTGGCAACCTCCTGCTCAGACTCATCAACTGTGCATATTGTATTAGCTTAAAATAGCAATGTTGAATAAACCAGTTAGTGTCTGGGCTAACCTTGAAGATTAGCTGAAGAGTTTTGCATCCACAAAGGTGTTTCTCTAACAAAACTTTACAGAAAGTTAAATTAAGGGGAGACATGATGTTTGCTTTAGACAACTTGTAGCTTTACTGGCTTTTTCCCCCTCCACAGAACTTTAACTGGAAACTTTCCAAAGGTATGGGACCAATTGCACAATATCAGAGAGAGCGACTGTGCACTATTTCATCACTTTTGCCAAAGCCGTGCTATAACAGTTTTACAGAAGAATTCCCAGTCTCCTTTGCTAAAGCAGATGAAGTGGGACCGTATCTCTTAATAGAACACAGTGTGCAACAGCTTTGTTGTCAGCTGACATTACTGCAACAGGTACAGAGATGTAGGTCTACTTGGAAGTACAAATAGTATCAGTCTTACATTATACTCAGCCTCCTTCCTTTACCTTTTCCCAACCTTGTTTCAAGCTTATTTCATATTATTTCATAAGAATTTGAATTAAAATAATCCATTTTTCTCTTGATACCTCTACAGTGAAATTTAGAATGGCTAATTCTATTCTTAGGCTGTGATCCCTCCGATAAATTTGCTGAAGAGAGTGTGGAGCAGGGGGAACCCTCTCTCATTTTCATCTCTGAGCATTTTAGAAGAACTGCTAGATCTAACAACAGATATATCTTGTTCTTCTTGTTTAGGAAGTATTTCATAAATGTCATCCAGTACACTTTTTAAATTCAAGAGCACTTGGTGTTAAAGACAAAAGTGTTGCTGTCCAAAAGTAAGTTGCTTATTTTAATTGCCCTTCTATTCTGTTGATGCACAATAACTTACTCTGTTACACCTTTAATAAATCCAGGAAAAGAGAAACATTTTGAATACTTAATATCTTTCCGACGGACTAGATAGTCTGTTTATATAATTTTTTTAATTTCAGGAGTTTTTACGCAAGTGTATTTATATGTACCTATGCACATATATGTATGTGGTAGGTCACATTTGCAAGGTGATTATCTAAAGTCGGTCAAGCCAAAATATTTCTGAAGACTTGTGTTAGGGGGATTGATTCAAAGGTTTCATTTTTGGCAGGAAAAAAAAAGTAATGTTTTTTTTCTGAAACAGGCTCCTTGATGATGCATGTGTGCATGTATATAAAATCTCAATGACCGTTACAGTGTCACAGAATAGCTGAGGTTGGAAGAGACATCTCAAGATCATGTAGTCCAAGCCCCTCTACCTTAAGCAAGGTCAGCTAGAGCAGATTGCCCAGGATCACAGAATCACAGAAACACTAGGTTGGAAAGGACCTTCAAGATCTTCAAGTCCAACCATTAATCCAGTGCCACCATGTCCCCTAGACCATGTCCTGAAGCGCCACATCCACACGTTTCTTGAACACTTCCAGAGATGGCGACTCCACCCCCTCCCTGGGCAGCCTGTTCCAATGCCTGACCACCCTCTCAGTGAAGAAATTTTTCCTAATATCCAATCTAAACCTCCCCTGGCGCAACTTGAAGCCATTTCCTCTTGTCCTATCACTAGTTACTTGGGAGAAGAGGCCAACACCCTCGTCGCCACAACCCCCTTTCAGGTAGTTGTAGAGAGCGATAAGGTCTCCCCTCAGCCTCCTCTTCTCCAGACTAAACAACCCCAGTTCCCTCAGCCGCTCCTCATAAGACTTGTGCTCCAGATCGTGTGCAGCTGGGTTCTAAATGTGGATGGAGACTCCACAACCACTCTGTGCAATGTTCATTTTGTACTGTTAGGCAGATGAAGTACCAATGTTCACAGATACGTAAGAATTTTCCTATAGTTTTTAGAGTGGTTACCAATCTATTTATATTACTTACTCAACGGTAATTAATGTTTTCATCCAGCCACATGGACCTAATTATATTTGATTATGGTCTAGTTCTTGTACATGTTAAATGCACAAGTAGCCTTTTCTGTCTAAAGATAGGGAACGAACAGCTGAAGCAGCTCATCCTTTCCAGATTGTTAAATGGCAGAGGCTAAATCAGTTGGTTTATACTGATTTGGGGTTCAGGCATGGGAAACAAACTGTATGATCACTAGGTATTAGGCTCGATTTCTTACATGGCTGCAGTTTTTAATGAGTTTGGATTTCTGGCTGTTGTTTTGTGTCAGGTTGGATGGTTTGTTTAATTCTGTCACAAGTGCTGAAGGTGTCTTTATGTACAGAAATGTATCCTGCATATGCTTATCTTGTAATCACATATAATTATCAGGAACAAAAAGTAACATAGCTCACTGTGTGCTTTGTAAAAGATTATAAAATCAAGACTGCAAGTACTGCAGAATTATTTTAAATGGTTAGAGGTTGGCATCTTCACAATGAAGATTTTCTTTGAAAGTTCAAAGTCAGAATGAATTTTTTGCCTTTTTTTCCCATTTTCTCCATAGAGCTGTTTCTACCGAGGCAGTTTCACTTAAAGTCTGTAATCTGTTTCTGTCAAAGTGCATACAAGACCAGTACCTTCTACAATTATTAAGAAATGCAGACAGTATCAGCACTTGGGTTGCTGCTGAAATTGTGACATGTCACACGTCTAAGGTTCGTCACTGTTTTATTGTTATTTAGTTGTTATTGTATATGAGTTGCTATGTAGCAAAGCTGCAGGAAATATTCTGAAATACACCTGTGAGTAGGCAGTTAGCAATTTGGTTTGTTGCACAAGGAGTGTCTTGGATGTTTTGTAGTAGCAGGTGTCAAAACCTAATAGAATGTAAGAAATGTGTTGCCTGAGGAGAACAGATGTCAGACTTTAACAAGGACACCTTGGTGCCAGAAAAAGGAGAACTTTGTGTTGGAGGGCAACGTTACTACAGTCAACAATTTTCATCAAAAATTCAAAAAGAAAATGCATCTGTTCTTCCTTCTCATTTAATTTTATTGTGTAAATTTACTATATATATTTTATTGTGTATAGATTTATTTTTATATGTAGTATATCTTAATATTTTTTTCAGCTGCAGGTGAGCTTGTTATCAAAATTTCTTCTTATAGCAAAATGCTGCTATGAACAAAGAAATTTTGCTACTGCAATGCAAATCCTAGCAGGCTTGGAAAATCTTATTGTCCGACAGTTACCAGTAAGTTTGGAAATCTGTTCTGTGACTATTTTGCTTAACATAATCTTGTTCCATATGGAAATGAATGTGAAAAACCAAAATATGTTTTGTTTTATTGTAAGGCCTGGAAAATTTTACCTGCAAAAGTAGCTGAAATAATGGAGGAACTCAAGGCTGTTGAGGTATTGTATAAATTCTTCATGTAAAAATACTTCTTTGGGGATGGAGAAGATGCAAGATCTGCTTAAATGGGTGCCTCTGCAGAATGAAAGCTGTAATTGTTGCTTTGTATTATGAAGGAGATTTTAATTTCATTTAAGACTTTTGACTCTTGGATTAAGAGTTTACATTAATTTTCATCTCAGTATTTCTCAAAAATATATCCTGTTTGTGGCTAAAAATCACCAAAAAAGCTTCAAAGCAAGCTAGGACATTAGATACGCTTTTTCTGATTATTTCTGCAGGAGCTTTGTGCCTGTAATCTCTTTTGAAAAATTTTAAATGTTTATTTTATCACAGGCATTCTTTTATTGATCTGTAAATTTTTGAATTATAGATTGAAGTTCCAAAAAGGTAATTTTTGTTTGTGATTTAGAAGGATTAAAATTATGTATGAAGTATCTTTGATTAAAGTTACTTTCTTTATTTGTGTGTTTTAAAATGTTTGCCACCGAGATTAATTCATAGGGTTGTATTCAACTTCAATGCCAAAAGTTAAAATTCATGACAAATAAACATGTAGTGCTAAACACATGGACAACTCCTTGTAAAACCTGCCCCAATACTTAACGTGAGGTTTATCTGTGCACATTTTTAAACTAGGTGTTTTTAAAAAGTGACAGCTTATGCTTGATGGAAGGAGAAAGATTCAAGACACTCCCAACAATTCCATCAGCCCATGTTTTGGCTATGCATGTCCAACAACTTGAAACCGGAGGATTCACAATGACAAATGGAGCTCACAAGTGGACTAAACTTAGGTAATTATTTTAATTGTCAATGTATGTCACTTAACTTATTAAATTAGAATATGTCTAATGGGGTAATGAGAGCTAATGCAATATTTCACAGTTAGCAGTTTAAATAGTTTCAGCGTTTTAACGTCTAACTAAAGGGACGTATACTATTGAAGAGAATGCTCAATTCCTCAATTTGAATTTCCTTTAAGGTTTAGTTTTGGGGGTGTTTTTGTGTTTTGGGTTTTTTATCAGCAAAACAAATTAATCTTTTTTGTCATGTTCTCTTTCAAGAAATATTGCAAAAGTTGTGAGCCAAGTTCATGCGTTTCAAGAGAATCCTTATACATATACACCAGATTTCAAGCTGCAGTCTTACCTCAGACAAAGAATAACTCGTTTTAAAGATGCAGACATTTCTGCCTTGGCAGCTGACAACTGTGCCAACTTCCATCAGATACCAGCAGAAAAACATTCTCGAAAAATTCAGGACACGCTGCGCAGAATGAAGGCAACATTTCAGTAATTGTTTACATTTCATCTGTTCTATTCCAAGTGCAGATTGTAAAACTGGATTAAGTTGACTTCATCTCCTGGACCAATTCCCAAGCAAATACTTAAGTGACTTAAAATGCTATCTCAAGTTGAAATTACTATATTTCTTAACATGGAATTAGAAAATGCTGACTAATGAGATTTGATTCCCTGGCAACGGGATGACAGATCAAAAGAATAAAAACAAAAATGTAAGTAAAGACAAAGAATAGGTGAAAAAGATGATTAATTTTGTCACTGTTCTTTGGCATAAAAAATAATTAGCCCACAAACAAATATCAAAAAAATACTGTGGAAATAAGTTAAAATTACAGCTTCTGTTGCAAAGCTGGCCTAGGAGGGTTCAGAGTTCATTAAATGTTGAATATATTTTTATATAAACATAGTATACTTGTATCCTGTTATAGTGTGCGTATAATTCAGGGACACAGATCCTCTGCTATCTTTTGCCTGTTGGTGTGTCTTGCTTTTGAGTTTTTCTTCAGGCATACTAAGGAAGGAGAGGAATGCCATGCTGCAACTTTTTTTTGTTTTGGTTTTAATGTCATTGAACTAACCTGTTTCCAAATGAAAGTAAGATCTGAATCAAAAAACTACCACTCTGTTGCTTTGCTTCTGCCCTCATGGCCTTGTGAAAACAGTGAACGTGAAAATGCCTCTTTTTCTGTATTTGGCACAAGAATCACTTTGCCAATTTGTGTACGTATGTATGTGTGCACGTTTGATTATGGCTTTTGCTCCTGAGGTTGCTGTTGTAGATTGCAGTGCTCCAGCAGCATTAAATAGATGATAACTGTGTGAAATTCGGATCTGCATCTTGTAAAACTTTGGTGCTAACCTATTTATAGAGCTTATACTTACAAGACCTTCTAAATGGCAATGAAATGCGATGCTATTGCTAGAAAGTTTATTGAGCTACCCAGGTTTATGCAAGCTCCAAAGGTTAAGGCTACAAATTAGTTACAAATGCTGGTATTCCTACCAGAGGGAACAATGGTAGTATTGGAAGAGAAGTGGGGAAGGGCAAGAAATAGCTAAAATGAGCTCTCTCCTGAAAGTGATTTCCTAGAACTATGTTTAAAGGGGGGGGGGGGGGGGGGGGGAAGGGAGGAGGAG